TTCTCCCTGTCTCTCTCTCTCACTGTCCACTCTGCCTGTCAAAAAAAAAAAAAAAAAATTCCACCTATTCGCTGCCTACAAGAAACACATCTCACCAACAAGATACATGCAGACTGAAAGTGAAAGGATGGAAAAAGATATTCCATCCTAACAGAAACCAAAAAAGAGCTGGTGTAGCCATCCTAATATCGGACAAAATAGACTTTTCACAAAAAGTGTTAAAAGTTTTAAGACAAAAAAGGGCACTATGCAATGATTAGGGTCAGTTCAACAGGAAGATGTGACTACACTAAATATATATGGACCTAGTTAGAGGACACCTAGCTATTTAAAAGAAACGTTAATGGATCTAAAGGGAGGCATAGACTCCAACACAATAGTAATGGAGAACTTCAATACCCCACTTTCAGCAATGGGCATATCAACCAGACAGAAAATCAGCAAGGAAACAACAGTTAATAGATACTATAGACCTAATGGATATCTACAGAACTTTTCATCCTACAGTTGCAGAATATATATTCTTCTCACCAGTGCATAGAACTTTCTCTAGGATAGATCACATGCTTGGCCATAAAGCTAGTCTCAGCAAATTCAAAAAAATCAAATGCATACCATGCATCTTCTCTGACCACAATGGAATTAAGCTGGAAATCAACAAATCAAGAATCTCTAGAACATATGCAAACACGTGGAGACTGAAGAATGTGCTCCTGAATGAACAGTGGGTCACAGAAGAAATCAAAAGAGAAATCAAATAACTATTGAGGAACAGGTTTTTTTTTTAATACTATTTTTTTGCACTCTTTACTTAGTATAGAGTTAATCTTCTGTGTATAAAGTTAATTGAAAATAGATCTTAGTGAAAAATAAGAATGGGAAGAGGAGAGGGAGGAAGAAGAAGGGTGGGAATGGGGGTGGGAGGGTGGATATGGTGGGAAGAATCACTATCACTATGTTCCTAAAGTTGTATTTATGAAATGCATGAAGTTTGTAAACCTTAAATAAAAGGTTTCTGGGGAAAATTTTTTTTAAAAAGATTTTATTTATTTGTTTGAGAGGTAGAGTTACAGACAGAGGGAGAGACAGAGAGAAAGATCTTCCATCTACTAGTTCAATCCTCAAATGGCTGCAACAGCTGGAGCTGGGCTGATCCGAAGCCAAGAGCTAGGAGCTTCTTCTGGGTTTCCCATGTGGGTGGAGGTGCCCGAGGACTTGGGCCATCTTCCACTGCTTTCCCAGGCCACAGCAGAGAGCTGGATCAGAAGAGAAGCTCCTGGAACACGAACCGATGTCCCTATGGGATGTCGGCACCACAGGCAGAGGCTTAGCACATTATGCCACAGTGCTGGCCTCCTCCCACCCTGTCCAGGGTTTCTTTAAAGGACAATAAATATGTTCTGAATTAAATGGTAGTGATAGTTATACAATCTTGTGAAAATACCAAAACTACTAAATTATCATACATGTAAAATTGATAAATTGGAATTGGCACTAGGTATAGCAGATACAGCTGCCTCCTGTAGCACTGGCATCCCATATGGACCCCGGTGCAAGTCCTGGCTTCTCCACTTCTGATCCAGCTTCCTGCTAATGCACCTGGGAAAGTAGCGGAAGATGGCCCGAGTCCTCGGGGACCTCTACCCGCATGGGAGACCCAGAAGAAGTTTCTGGTTTCAGACTGGCCCATCTCTGGCTGTTGCAGCCATTTGGGGAATGAACCAGCAGATGGATGATCTCTCTCTCTATATATATATATCTGCCTCTCTCCCTGTAAGTTTGCTTCTCAAATAAATAAATAAATCTTTTAAAAATAATTGTGGTAGGAGAATTATATCTCAATAACATTACTATTAAAAAATCCAAAATTTAACAACATATGTACAAGATTTATACACCCAAACCCAAAAAACTAAGAGAAATTTTAAAACATTTAAATAAACCAAGAGGTACAAAGTGTTCATAGATTAAAAGGCTTAATACTAAGATGTTGATTCTCCCCATCATGTTCTATAGATTTAAAATGCAAATTCAAAGTCCTAATCAAAGTCCTAGCAGATCCTCTCAGGAACTAAAAGGTTGATTATGAAATTTATATGGAAATGTAAAAACCTAACAGACTGAAAAAGAAGAAGGACTCAAACACTACAGGACTTAAATATTTGTTTTTAAAAAAAGATTTATTTATTTAAAGACAGAGTTACAGAAAGAGGTAGAGACAGAGAGAGAGGTCTTCCATCTGCTGGTTCACTCCCCAGATGGCAGCAACGGCCAGAGCTGATCCGATCCGAAACCAGGAGCCAGGAGTTTCGCCCGTCTCCCATGTGGGTGCAGGGGCCTAAGGACTTGGGCCAACTTCTACTGCTTTCCCAGGTCATAGCAGAGAGCTGAATTGGAAGAGGAGCAGCCAGAACTAGAACTGGTGCCTATATGGGATGCTGGTGCTTCAGGCTAGGGCTTTAACCCACTGTGCCACAGCGCAGGCCCCTTAAATATTTGTTTTTAAGACTTAACGATAGGGGCTGGCTTTGTGGCATAGCAGGTAAAGCCACCACCTGCAGTCCCGGCATCCCATATGGGCGCTGGTTTAAGTTTTGACTGCTCCATTTCTGATCCAGTTCTCTGCTATGGCCTGGAAAAGCAATGGAAGATGGATGGCCCAAGTCCTTGGGACCCTGAAGAAGCTCCTGGCTCCTGGCTTCAGAATCAGTCCAGCTCCAGCCATTGTGGCCATTTGGGGACTGAACCATAATATGGAAGACCACCACCCCACCCCACCCCGCCTCTGCATGTCTGTAACTGTCTTTCAAAGAAATAAATATATCTTTTTTTTTTTTTTTTAAGAAAAGACAACAATAATCAAGATTGTCACATTAATGCAAACAAAGACAGATTAGGGGAACAGAAGGGAGTCTAGAAAGAAGCCCATACCTATGCTAATGATTGAGACAAGATGGGGTGCGTTCAGGGTGGTATGGCCATAGACTAATGACTGACTGTCAACAAGAACACCAACATAATTCAGTGGTAAAAGGATGGTTTTTTAATAGAATAACTGGATATCTTACGAAGGAAAAAAAAAAGGAACCTCTAATCTCATACTAAACATAAAAATTAATTCAAAATCAGTTCTTGATCTAAATATAAAAACTAAACCTATGAAACACAAGAGAAAATCTTCACATCTGGGGACAATAATACTGCCTAGCTAGAAAAAAAAGCACTAACTATATAAGAAAATTTGATAAGCTAGAATTCATCAAAATTAAAATTTCTGCTCTTTCAAAAAACCATGAATGAAATGAAGAGGCAAGCCATTTAATGGGAGAAAACAATTACAATAAACATATATTTAACTAAGATCTTAGACACAAATATATAAAGAATTCTTAGAGCTAAATAATAAGACAAATAATTCAGTATTTATATAGGCAAACTAACTAGATGCCTCTGAAAAGAGGACAAAGAAAAAACCAGCACATAAAAAGATATTCAGACTCATCAGTAATCAGGGAAACAGAAATTCAAACCACAGTAAAATGCCACAACACTCTGACTAGAGAAGCTAAATTAAAAGACTCAAGGTAAATCCTCATGCATTGCTGGCAGGAATTTGTATGGGATAAATTCTTTGGAAAACTGGTGGATCTGAGTAAAGTTCATATATTTGCCATAGGACCTAGTAATTCCACTTAGGCATTAAACCAAAAGAAATAAAGACTTTTACATGAATTTCAAAGCAATTTTATAATGAGAGCAAAAAACTGAACAGAGTGTAAAAGTCCTTCACCTAGAAAGTAGATCAACAAATTGTGATATATTAATACAAAGGAATATTTTTCAATTATTAAAAAGACATGAACTTCCGCTACAAATGGTTAAATCTCAAAAACATTAGGCTGAGTGAAAGAATTCAGATTCAAAATTACATCTACATTAAGTTCTTGAAATTCAAAACTGACTTACAGTGATATGGATCAGATCAGTAGTTGTCTGGAGTGGTGGGACTTTATGGGTGGATGGAAATGTTCTATATCTTGATTTAGGGATACTTACATAATGCACAGATTCGTTAACAATCTATATATTTAAAATGAGTATATTTTTAGCTATATTATTCTTCAACAAAACTGATTTTTAAAAAATGTAGTTCTTTGAAGAAGCCAAACATAATGAAAAACAACTGCAAGAGAGGGTGAACCAGATAAACCATAAAACACATAGGGAGGGGCAGGCATTTGGTCTAGTTATTAAGACACCAGATAAAATGTCTACATCCTATATTTGGAGTGCTCAGGTTCGATTCCCAGCTCCAGCCCCCAATTCCAGCTTCCTGCCAATGCAGATCCTCTGAGGCAGCAGGTGAGAGCTCCATTAGCTGAGTGCCTGCCTCCCACATGAGAGAACCTGCTCAAGCTATGGGCCCAACCCGGGCCTTTGGGAGTACTTGAGAAGTGAACCCGGGCATCGGAGTGCTCTTTCAAGCTTGCTCTCTCTCTTACTCTTTCTATCTTTTCAGCAGATAAAATTAAAAATCCAATCAAAACAACGACAACAAGCCATAGGGAATGGTAGAGTTAGAAACACAGTACATATGTATTTTAAGAAAGAGAAAACTATGGCTCATTGCATTCTCACTTTCCTCAGGGAAGTTTCAATAACTAAAAGAAAATTATCAGGTGACAAAAAAGTATTAAGATTCATTAGTTAATTTCATATGGCCATGAAATTCTGAAGTCTCAGAAAGCATTTTCTAAAGCTATTACAGATATCTTTGGAACATTATTAAAAATGTACATATCCTGAACCACAATGTTTTCCATTTCTTGTCTTGGCATAAAAGCTGACTTCTCTAAAATATCTTATTTCATAGAACAAACAGTATCAACACCAAATGATTTCGAATATAAAGTTAAGCCTGAAATGAATCCTTCCTGATTATACAGACAGCTGGAAGAATGAACGTCCATGCGGGAACAGGAAGGCTGGGGAACTCTCACCTCTTCCACAAAAGCCCAGTACTTGCAGTTACTGCAGATGCTCCCAGGAACGCCACCATCATTAGTCTTCTCCTGACCTGAGTAGGCTGGGAGGCTCCATGGTACCATCGAGAGCCCACAGCCAGTTCTGCCAACGCAGAGAGTGAATTAAGACGAAACATCCTGGGGACAAAAAGTAGGAATGTCACTTCAAGGCTACTGGTAGCGACTGACAATGATGATTATGATGCTGACAGTATCAACATCACTTGCTGACGAAGTGCTTATTCTATGGCACACGTTATTCTAAACACTTGGCATGCATTGTCCCATTTAATTCTGAAAACAATCTCGGCAGAAAAATCACTACTACTCATAACCCTAGTACGTAAAGTACAATTAGAAGACAAAAACCACATGATAATCAGGGGATAGAGAGACAGCAAAGACAGGGAGCAGCCACCAGTTTTGGGCTGCCGCGTAGTTACCAAGATAGGATCGAACCTGTCAAAGGGCTGAGACCCAGACCTCGTGAAGGTGGACTTCAGATTGCTAGGTAAAGCCACCCACAATGGGGAGATGCCATAATTCACTGGAAAACTGCACGTGGGAGTGCTGCTGTCAAAGCTCTCACAGGGTTGAGCACCACTAAGTGTCCCAGTAGCCCCTGCATGTCATGGGAGCCAGCAGACAAGAACACACTAGAATCAGGTAGAAACTGCCCTTCCTTCTCCAGTGTCCCTCTAGTCCCTCTACTGACAAAGCTGAACAATAACTGGCAAGGGAGAAATTTTTAGAATCACAATCAGGGGAATAAAAGATGGATTTAGAACTGAAAAGAAGCACATGGATACTAGCACTCTGATGTTACAGCTGTGATGTGTGACTTGCTCCACAGCATGCAGTTAGGATCCCAGAGTCCAAGTTTTTAACTAGGAAATGCTGCTGCCTCCTCTCTGATAACTCTGACATTGCTTCTGTGAAAAGAATTTAAGTACTCATTAAATCTTTCTCATACCCAGACCCTTAGAAGTCTTCTTCCCAAACAGATGCTCTCATGTCATACTTAAAACTTCACTAAAAAATTCCTTTAATATTTTATTTCATATGAGACTCCTGTATTAGTTCATATTATTGCCCCATGAACATTCACTTTCCCATTCTCCATCCCACAGGCAAAGACTATTTTCCATGTCTTTCAATTTTGTGTATCTTGCCATGTGCCTTGCTTGAGCAATGAAATATAGGCCAATTCCATGAACTCCTTTTTTTTTTTTTAAGTGTATTTATTCACAGAGAGAAAAGGAGAGACATACACACAGATACACACACACACACACACACACACACACAGATCTTCGATTCACTGGTTTACTCTGCAAATGTTCCCAATAGTCAGGGCTGGGCAAGACTGAAGCCAGGAGACTGGAACACTTTCGAGGTCTCCCACATGGGTGACAGCGACCCAAGCACTTGGGTCATCACCTGCTACCCCCCAGGATGTATATGGAGAAAGCTAAATCAGAAGTGAAGTAGCTAGAACTTGAATCAGCACCCCAATCTGGGATTCAGGCATTCTACGCAGCAGTTAACTGGTGTGCCACAATGTCTGATCCTCATTACCATCAAATGATTTTAAGAGGAGTTACTGTTGGCCGCCTTGTGCTCCTGTACGCCACCAAAAGATCATGCCTCAAGGAAACACTGATCCTTCAACTCGGGTTCCATAAAGAACAGACCTGAGCCTGAAATAAACCACTGTCAAGTCCAGCTAAACCAGCTGAGCACAGCTGCAGAATGCTGGTAGAAATCAACGTTATGATAGCCATGACGAGTTCTGGGGTTGTTTGTTGCCAAAGCAAAAGCTGACTAATTCAGCATCTAAGAGAATTACTGGGAAATTCTAATTCAGCAGAATTGATTAAGCTCATTCTATATACATATTCAGCACTGTGTTACTTTTTTTTAGGTCAAAACACTTTTACATTCTAATTAGGCAAGATACACATAAAACATTTTCTGAAAGAACACATTTCTATAAGAGTATCTTGAAGAAATATAAAAGATTATGGGATAAATGGTAGAAAATTAAAGACAAAAGAAAACTGGGTTGAGCCTGGGCCAGTCAGTAAAGGCTTTTGTTTGATCTTAAGCCTCAGAATAGTGTAGGATTTTCATCAAACGACAGAAATGTCAAGAGTACTCCAAAAGGATTAATTCAAGTACTTCCATTTGGGGAAATAATGTGGATTTTTTTCCCTCTAGACATCAACCTTGAGGTCACAGAATAGCCCCACGTTCTTTTATTACACACAGCACACTGAAGGAGAATGGGCATTGCTTTCTGGCTCCATGACCTTTATACTGTTAATTCATTCAGACTACACAAAGTATTCATGTCTCCCCCTTTCATTTTTCTCAAAGCATAGTTCATTGCTTCCTAATTTAAATCCTGTGTTTGGAACACATCTTATGGCAGTTCATATATCTTTTCATACATAAGTTTGCCTCCCCCTCTCGGCTTTAAACTTCTTCCAAGGCCAAATTAAAAAGTGACACAGAAGGAAAACAGAGAGATATCTTCCATTCTCTGATTCACTCCCCAAATGCCTGCAACAAATGGGGGTAGGCCAGGCCAAAGCCAAGAGTCAAGAACTTCATCAAGATCTCCCCATGTGGATGGCAAGAACCTAAATACCTAAATCCACTGCTTCCCAGTTGCATCCGAATGAGGCCGGATTAAACATGTTGACTAACAGGAACTCACATCGGAACTCCCATACGCATCTAAAGAAGCAGCTTAGCTGGCCTGTGCCGGTTACTGACTCTTCCTTGGGACCTATACCTGTAATCTCCTAAATAAATCTTGCTCCTAATCCCCCTTCATCTAATCTAGATCCATTTTTTTTTATTTGAAAGAATTACAGGGAGGGGAGGAGAGAGAAAAGTCTTTGATCCCCAACACTTTTCTAAATTCACTTTCTATTTTTTTTTTTAAAGATATATTTATTTGAAAGTCTGAGTTACATAGAGAGAGGAGAGGCAGAGGGAGAGAGAGGTCTTCCATCTGCTGGTTCACTCCCCAACTGGCTGCAACAGCTGGAGCTGTGCCCATCTGATGCCAGAAGCCAGGAGCTTCTTCCAGGTCTCCCATGTGGGTGCAGGGGCCCAAGGACTTGGGTCATCTTCTACTGCTTTCCCAGGCCACAGCAGAGAGCTGGATCGGAAGTGGAGCAGCCGGGACTCGAACCGGTGCCCTTATGGGATGCCAGCGCTTCAGGCCACGGTGTTAACCCACTGCGCCACTACATCGGCCCCATCTAGATTCATTTTCTAGTACATGGGTTGTTATATTATAGATATTTAAAATATCTGTAAAATATATTTCATTTTAAAACCAACAATGTCTGGGTGCAAACTATATACATACTGGCTTCTAATATTTATTTTTTATTTTTTTATTTTTTATTTTTTAATTTTTTGACAGGCTAGACAGTGAGAGAGAGTTATAGACAGTGATAGAGAAACAGAGAGAAAGGTCTTCCTTCTGTTGGTTCACTCCCCTAATGGTTGCTATGGCCGGTGCGCTGCGCTGATCCAAAGCTAGGAGCTGGGTGCTTCTTCCCAGTCTCCCATGCAGGTGCAGGGCCCAAGCACTCAGGCCATCCTCCGCTGCCCTCCTGGGCCACAACAGAGAGCTGGACTGGAAGAGGAACAACCGGGACTAGTACCTGGTGCCCCAAATGGGACTAGAACCCGGGGTGCCAGAGCCGCAGGCAGAGGATTAGCCTAGTGAGGCACGGCACCGGCCAGCTTCTAATATGTAAGCACATTTCTCAGTCTCTAATTTACTAAGAAAACTTTTCCATTATTTGGGTTCAAGTCAGGTTCAACGACTTAGCTGTCTCCTAATATTACTGAGTACTGACTCTTCCCTGGGACCTTTACTGCTAAGTAAATTTTGCTATCAGCCACGCCTTAGCCAATACAGAAGCAGTATTTTTAAAAATTTATTTGAAAGACAGAATTACAGGGAGAAGAGGAGAGACAGAGAGAAGTCTTTGATCCACTGGTTCACTCCCCAAATGGCCACAATGGCTGGGTCAGGCCAAAGCCAGCAGCCAGGAACTTCATCCTGTCTCCCACAGATTAATTTTTCCTCTTATTTTCTATGACCTGAACTTTGGCAACGATTCTGTCATTTTAATTTATTGCATATACTCAAGCAAAATCAGAAACCAGGAAGCTGTTCGTTGTACTTTTTTTCCTGACAACTTATTCATCTTTTCCTGCTTCACTTTTGAATAAACATTTCCCCAAATGTATACCTGTTCTCATAAATAGCATTGCTTTTGGCTGCAGCAATAATAATCACAACTAAAATATACAAATCTGGAAGAATAATTATTTACCACTATCAACAGGAAGAAATGGCACTTGGAAGTTTCAAAAGGAAAAACAAAACTGATTCAAAAATTGGAAGAGGGAAAGGATATACACGACTGGAAGGTAAATTTACAACATCTGATGAGATCTGGAGAACAGACATATGATCAAATAGGTAAGCTATATCCTTTAAAGATTATTAGAAGGCCAGGGTAACTTTGAAAAAAATTTTTAAAAAATACCACAAATAAAAAAATAGCCTCTCAAGCTCTTCAGTAGGAAAAGAACATGGCACAAACACTGCTTAAAGAAAATCGGAAGGAAGGAAGGAAGGAAGGAAGGAAGGAAGGAAGGAAGGAAGGAAGGAAGGAAGGAAGGAAGGAAGGAAGGGAATGAGGGAGGGAGGGAGGGAGGGAGGGAGGAAGGAAGGAAGGAAGGAAGGAAGGAAGGAAGGGAATGAGGGAGGGAGGGAGGGAGGGAGGGAGAAAGGAAGGAAGGAAGGAAGGAAGGAAGGAAGGAAGGAAGGAAGGAAGGAAGGAAGGAAGGAAGGAAGGGGGAGGGAGGAGGGAGGAAGGGAGGGAAGAAAATCACTATCTACCAGCAGAGCAGGGAATAAACTGCAAAGAACCAAAGGTATCCTCTCTCTCTCTCTCTACTTCTCTCTGTAACTCAGTGTTTCAAATAAATAAAACAAATCTTTAAAAAAAAATGTTGAGCCAGGGGAAATAGCCAGCACTGTGGCACAGAGGGTTAAAGCCCGGCCTGCGGTGCCAGCATCTCATATGGGTGCCAGTCCG